GCTATGAGGAGAAATGTGGGGTCAAGATTGGTGGACGATTTATCAACAATCTGCGTTATGCAGATGACACAACCCTGCTTGCTGAAACTGAGGAGGACCAGAAGCACCTGCTGCAGAGCGTCAAGGACTGCAGCCTACAATATGGATTGAGGCTCAATGTCAAGGAAACAAAGATTCTCACCACTGGGTCAGCTGGCAGCATCAGCATGGATGGTGAAGAGATTGAGATTGTTCACAGCTTTAGTTTGCTTGGCTCCACAGTCAACCTTAGGGTTAGCAGCTGAGTATTTATCCTCTGTGCTAGCAAGGCATGGTGATTCTTTCCAATATCCTGTGACCTGAACTATATATTTGAAAAAGAAAAAGCTCAAAACCTTGTTGTTGACATGTGTAAACCAATTCATGGCTGCTCCTCCATTGGATTCTCCAAGGCTGTAAGCGGTGTGAGAGGAGATTGCCCTTCTTTCCACCATGGAAACTCTGGTAGATTAGTCAACAGATGGTTGCCACTCCTGGGCTAGTATAACAGTCCCTGTGGACTATGCCATTAGAGTCTCCTCCTTGGTTAAAATATCCAACTTATATTTTTCTAATTTTTGAAAGTTGGAAATCTAGTCAAATTATTTGGAGAAGGAAATTATTGTACAGAGATGAAGGCTGAAAAATTATTTCTGAATATCGTAGTAAGAATTTAACAGATGGGTATTGTGCTATTATCTTTTCTAAACTCCCAGGCCAGACAGCCCTCTCATAAATGCATTACCATCCAGTAGAAACCATTATATAACTAACCCTTTATTGGGTTTCCAAGAATTGCAGTGCTGAGAATTGCTCTGACAAGACTGTACATCTTTCTTCCAACAGAGCTGATGATGGGTTCAAACCTTCAGAGAAGGGCTGCCTTTGGATTTCCAGCACTCTTAATGCCCCACTTTGGTATTAAAAAAATAGTTAATGGTATCACCTTGCTTCCAGTTGGACCAACAAGGATTTAGAAGTACTGCATGAGGCAAAGTTCTCCTCCCACTTTTTCTAAACCACAAAGAAATATGAACTTATTTTACAATATGGTCTTATCCAAGACCCTAGAAATGCATGATTTTATAGGTTCAGTTTGAAATATATATAGATAATACTGGAATTTGAATTAAGAGAGACTGACTCCGGAAGGTAGTTCCTCTAACTTCTCTCCTGGATTAAAGATAAACCCTGTCTTTTACTATTATTATGAATGTTACAGAGTTGAGAAGCAAAGGAAGGTAAATATGACCCAGAATGTAGCTGACCTTTTAAAGAACTTTTAACAGTAAACTCTATATTTGCTTAAATGATTTTATAGGAAGAGGAAATGTTTCCTGACACAGTTAATATCTAAACTTTATAGAGTCCAGTGTTTTATTTTTTTAAAATGTTTCTGTATAATTCAGTTGACATTTTTATTCATCTGAAATAATGCCCTAGGTTAAAAATCATTACAAATATATCTGTTTATAGAACTGATAAAGATGTTACGTGATCTAGGAAAAGAGAACTATTTTGTTAGGTCTACTGCCAAATTCCCCTTTGCTATGCAGGAATATATAGTTATGGCATGACCTTAACCTCCTAAGCATCAAGTATACTAATCTTATTCACGTAACTTTCTTTGAGAGTTAATAAATAAGGGCTATAGTCTAGTGATCTGCATTGGTGATAGCCTAGTAATAAAAATCTGTTCTACAATCCTGAAGGCACGTGGTTCAAATCCATCAGTTGCTCCTGGAAGGATGAACCATCTCATCTGGTGCAATTAACTGCTTCTGAAAACCTGTTGGAGAGTCAGCCATGGGTCAGTTCTGATTCAAAGGCATGAAACAACAACATACTCTAGTAATGGGCAGATTTTAAATTTTATTTTTCTGAAAAAAATATTTTTATTTTAGGGGGAAGAGAGACCTAAGTCAAAGAGACTACTCATGCTAAGACTCTTCATTCTGAAAGGTTGCTCAGTAAACTGACTAATAGTTATTAAATCTAATTTTTCCATTATGCTTCATTAAACTTAGTTAGGAGCACTTGGGCATTGATTTTGGAGAGGATGGGTCATAATGTTTTGTGTTAATACAGGTTTATTGAGTCACCTCTATCTGATCCTTCTATTCTACTTAAGTGATTTATATTTAAAAATACACAACACAATATCACCATATTTAGGAACATTTTTATCAACTTGCACAGATTAGATTTTTATTTCTCATGTTTTTCCAGTAGATGGTATTTTTGATAATGTGCCTGTTTTACTGGAAGAAGAAATTAGGTTAGGTATATGTCCCAAAATGTAAAGCATCATCATCATCATCATCATAATCACAAAAACAACAATAGTATGCTGAATGGAATTCAGCAATTATTTCACCAGGCCCCTGCCTTCAGTGAGCATATGGTTGAATTAGTGAATTGGAGACATCTATATTTCTCTATAGCTCTGCAGCTTTATTTTCCAAAATGTATGATTAACTGCTTCTGGAAACTCACCAGAGGGTCGGCTATGGGTCGATGCCAATTTGATGGTACATAACAACAGCAATGCAAGTAGAGAAGGAAATGTTATAACAGTTAAACTTATATTGTTGTTGTTAGGTACTATTGAGGTGAGTATGACCCATGGTGACCCTACGAGCAACAGATCTGAGCTCTGTCTTAACTTGTACCATCCTCTCACTTCTTGATGCACTAGAGCCCATTGTGGCAGTCACTGTGTCAATACATCTGGTTGGGTGTCTTCCTCTCTTTTGGGACCCTCTCCAAGGACATCCTCTCCTAGCAACATGAGCTAAGTATGTGTGACGAAGCTTTATCAACTTTGCTTCAAAGGAGCACTCTGGCTGCACTCTCTCAAAAACATACTTGTTTGTTCTTTTGAAAGTCCATGGGATATTCAGTGCTCTTCTCCAATATTACATTTCAAAGACGTCAATTTTTCTGCCATCCTTATTTATAGTCCAGTTCTCAGATGCATTGCAAGTGTTCAGAAAGACCATGGCCAGAATCAGCTCTTACTACTCGAACTGACATAGTAGCTCCTCAATAATTTGGAGGGGTCCTTGACTGCAGAGTTTACCAGTGCAATGCAACTCTTGATTTACTGATTGCTGACACTAAGGGTGTTGATTGTGGATCAACTAAGATGAAATAGTTGGCAACTTCAAGTTTTTTATCCATCTATCATGACGTTGCCTGTTGATCCAGTGGTAAGAATTTTTATTTTCTTAACACTGAGATGAAATCTGTATTGAAAGCTGAATTTTTTGATCTTCTGCAACAAGAGCTTCAAGTCCTCCTCACTTTTAGCAAGCAAGGTTGTGTCACCTGCATAACACAGGTTTTTGATGAGTCTTCCTCTGATCTTGATGCCACATTCTTCTTCGTAGATTCCACCTTCTTGAGTAATTTGCTCGGCACACAGATAGAATAGGTATGGAGAGATGATACAACCCTGCACACTCCTTTCTTCATTTTAAATCATGTATGTAGAACAAATAATTTAAAAAGTTGTTGGACTAGTGAAGAAAAATATGGTGTTAGAATTGAAGGAAGATTCATCAACACCTTATTTTATGCCAAATTATGCAACTTTGCTAGTAGACTGTGAAAAATATATGAAACACTTCCTGCTGAATATCCAAGACTACAGCCTTCAGTGCAGATTATATCTCAATATCTAGAAAACAAAAATCCTCTTTACTGGACCAAGAAACAACATTGTGGTACATGGTGAAGGTTTGAAGTTGCCAATAATTTTATTTTACTTTACTTGGATCTACAATTAACAAATACGGTAATTTCACTCAAATACATCAAAAGACATGTTGTACAGGAGCAAAAAAAAAAGCAACTGTCATGGAAAAAGTGCTAAAGAGCAATGATATCATTTTAAATCTAAGGTGCACTTGATGCAAACCATGGTATTTTCAGTTACTGGTTAGGAATCTGGAAGTTGGACAGTGAATAAGGATGATGGGAGAAGAATTGCTACGTTTGAGTGTGGTGTTGGAGAAGAGTACCAAATACCCCATGGATTGCCAAGAGCAAGACAAATACGTCTCAGAGAAAGTGTTACCAAGATGCCCCTTGAAGTCAAGGATGGTGAAACTTGTCTTAACTATTTTGGGCGGGTATTTAGGAGGGGCCAGTCTTTGGAAAAAATAGATCTTGCTGAGAAAAGTATAAGATCAGTGAAAGAGAAAGTTTCAACAGAATGGATTGACACAGTGACTCTATGAATGGACTAGATGGTGAGGATGGAGCAGGACAGCACAAAGTTCTGATCTGTACTTCACAGGGTTACTGTGAGTGATATAGACAATATGAAGACACAGCAACGACAGCAAAGAATTTGCTCTTAGAGTCGAATACCTGCAAGTTTATCATTGATTGTGTTTTAATGAACAAATGATTCAGGGTCTGTGAGCCTCTCTTTTATTCTGTAATGGAATTTTTAAAAACACTTTTTAACCTTACAGATTTTAAGCGGAAGATAAAACATGTAGTGCCCAGTACACTGTATATACTTAAGCATTAGTTTTTATAGATAATCTTTCCAGAAGCCACTTATTGGTCAGATTTTTCTTTTTTGTTTTAAAAATAATTTACTCACTATTGTTATTGTTTAGACTATATATTCAGAAGATCATACACCATTCCAGCAATTTCTACATGTGTGTTAGCTTTCTTGATTATAGATAGAATTAGATCCATTTGCTTCTCTCTTGAGTAATTTACTCATTAGTAAATATTGTATAAATTTATGAGTGGTAGAATGTGAATGTCCTTCATTGATTTTTCATGATATCCCCTTTCTTTCTTTTTCCTAGACAACTATCAGATGAGCAGCCTCAGCCCACCTCTTTTGTTCCACCAGAGATGCTCACACCATCAAGTTATGTAGGACAGTATTTCCAACCAGCATCCAACCCGGATTATCATTCACAATCTCCTTACGTTGACAGTTTTGATGAAGAGCCTCCTTTGCTAGAAGATAAGTTAAGGAAGTGTTACTAATGTGTATATAGCCTGAAGAATAATAGCAATAATCACCACTTAATGTGTGCTGTCAGTTTGCTCTTGTACTGTATGTTATATATGATTGTTCTATATTTAAATAAGGATTTGCCAAACCAAGACTCTAAACTGTCTAAAGTTTAACTGAATGTTTGCCTGGGGCAAGTTGGCAGTAAATGCTTGCTGTTGAATATGATATTGTTGCTGTTATTAAATGTTTTATTCACTTTTTCTCAAATATGGACACTCTGACCATGTCTAGACAATAGTGAGGATGCCTTTGGGAGAGTAATTGTATCAAAGCTGTCATGACTTCCACCTCAATTAAAGAAGCATCTCATAACAGCATATTTCAAGAAAGTATTCTTTTTATGCTTGTTTAGAGGAGAGGGGAGAAGAGGTCTATTTCTCAACGTTTTGTTTGCTTGTTTTTTTAAATTGGTTTGCTAACAATGTTTGCATACATCAGTGTCACACTATTCTTCATTCATACTGTATTTTATACAGTCAGTCTCATACATGTGTTGTTCTTGTTATGTGTCATTGAGTCACTGTGACTCATAGTGGCTCTATGTACAATAGAAGCCTGCCTTGTCCGGAGTCAGTCTCACTGGTTCCGACACACTTATCCCCATTGCCCTCATTACCATATTTATCCATCTCATCTGAGACTTCCTCTCCTATGCTCTCTACCCTTCCAAGCATGATGTGCTTCTCCAAGGATTAGTCTGGCCACATGCCTAAAATATATAAGACAGAGATTAAAAATCCTAGTCTCCCAGGAAAAGTTGGTTTTATCCTCTCCAAGACAGACCTATTTGTTTTCTTAGTGGTCCATGGTATGTTTAAGGCTCTTCTCCAGCACCATAACTCAAAGGCACCAATATTCTTCTGTCACCCTTAGTCATTGTCCAATTCTCTGAGGCATAGAGCCTTGATGCAGAGCAAGTAATTGAAAAAGTAATTGCCTAGCACCTTAGTTTCTAAGCTGACATAATTAAATCTCAGTGCTATGGAGAGCCCTCTGACAGTATATTCACCTAATGCAATTCATCCTTTGTTTTCCTGACTGCTAGTGCCAAGAGTGTTGTGTAGCCAAGCAAGCTGTAACTGTTAACCTCAATCTTTTCTCCATCCATCTGGTGCTGCCAATTGGCCCAGTGGTGAGAATATTTGTCTTCTTGATGTTGAGCTTCAATCCATCTTGAAGACTACAGTCCTTGACCTTCTGCAGCAAGAGCTTCAGGTCCACTTCAATTTTAACAAGCAAGGTTGTGTCATCTTAATAACATAGGTTGTTGAGTCTTACTCCAACCCTGATGCCGTACTCCTCCTCATAGAGCCCAATCTCCCAAATGACCTGTTCTGCCTATAGGTGGAAAAAGTATAGAGACAGGATGCATCCCTGACACACTTGCTTCCTGATTTTGAACCCTGCAGTGTTTCCCTGCTCTGTTGTGATGACTGCTTCCTGGTCCAAGTATAGGTTTGTTTCACATAAGGACAATCAAGAGTTCTGGGATTTCCTTTCCCCTCAAGGTTAACCACAATTTGTTGTGATCCACACAGTCAAATGCCTTTGCATAGTCAACGAAACACAGACAAATATCAATCTGGTACTCTTTGCTTTCCGCCAAGATCCATCTGACACTGGTGATAATGTCACTAGGAGGCTATGGCCTCCTCTAAAACCCAGCTTGTATCATGTTTTATAAAATCAAACACCATTGGGCCTAGCCCATCATTTCCCAATCTTTTAATGTCCCTCCAAGATCCTTCCCATTTCCTTCACTACCTGTTACTGCCCACAAAACTCTGTAACCCTGTGGTTTAGCCCCTAACTGTCCTTAGCTCTCTGCCCTTACCCCTACCCCCCTTGTGTCTCCACGCATGTTTTACTAGTTATCCTGCTAGTTTTACGATAATGGTCTTACGCAGTATTTGTCTTTAGTGAGAATGAGTTAGGTCACTCAGCATAATGTGCTCCAGGCTATCCAAAGTTACAGTATTTTTCAAAATCATTGCTCCTGTGTGCGACTTAGTGTTCCATTGTGTGAATGTATTGCAGCTTCTCAATCCACTTAGTTGTAGTTGGATATTTGGGCTGTTTTCACCTTCTTGCAATAGTGAGTAATGCTGCTATTGAAATTAGTGTACAGGTCTCTGTTTGTGTCTCGGTTAAAATTTCCTTGGGGTATATTCCTAGTAGCAGACTAGCTGGAGTTTCTATGTTCAACTTTTTGAGGAAGCGCCAAACTGTCTTCTGGAGAGGTTGTACCATTTTACAATCCCACCAACAGTGTAGGAGAGTTTTTGCTTTCTCACATCCTCTCCAACATTTATTGCTGGCTGCCCTGTTACATTGCCACTGTAACAGGGTAGTGGTATCTCAGTCTGATTTTTGTTTGAAGCTCTCTTCTTTATCTATTAATTTTTTCAGCTGTTTATTGTCAGTTATTTTAATCCTACCAAAAGCAATCTACATGTTCAATGCAATCCCAATACAGATACCAAATTCATTTTTCAAAAGATCAAAAGAAGGAAAGGATACCAAAAATAGAAAACCATAAGTCAATATCTCTTATGAACATAGATGCAAAAATCCTGGCCAATAAAATTCAACAATACATCAAAAAAATAATTCATCATGACCAAGAGGGTTCATAACAGGTATGCAAGCATGGTTCAACATAAAAAAACCCAAAAACAATTAATGTAATTCATCATATAAACAAAGCAAAGATCAAGAATCATATGATCCTATCAATTGATGCAGAAAAGGCCTTTGACAAAATCCAACACCCCTTTCTGATTAAAACACTCAATAAAATAAGATTAAAGGGGAATTTCTTCAAAATAGTAAAAAGTATATATGCAAACCTGAGAGCCAACATTGTTCTCAATGGAGAGAGGTTAAAGGCATTCCCCTTAAGAACAGGAACTAGGCAAGGATTCCCACTATCACCTCTCTTATTCAATATTGTATTGGAAGTCTTAGAGATAGCAGTAAGACAAGAGAAGGAGATAAGAGGTATACAAATTGGCAAAGAGGATGTAAAATAATCTCTCTATGCAGATGATATGATAGTATACTTAGAAAACCCTCAAGACTCAGCAAGAAAATGACTAGACATGGTTGACCAATCAAGCAAAGTGGCAAGATACAAGATCAACATAAAAAAAATCAGTTGGATTTCTCTACAGTGACAAAAAAAATACAGAGCTGAAGCTAAGAAAAACAATACACTTCACAATACCTAATCACAAGATTAAATACTTGGTAGTAAATCTAACCAGAAGCACAAAGAATCTATTAAAAGAAAATTACAAAACATTATTACAAGAAACAAGAAGAGACCTGGCGAAATGGAAGGATATTCCTTGCTCACGGATACAAAGACTCAATATTGTGAAAATGACAATATTACTGAAGGCATTTTACAAATCCAATGCAATCCCAATACCAATCCAAATCCCATTTTTCAACGAGATAGAAAAGGCAAACTCTGGTTTCATTTGGAATGGAAAGAGGCCCAAAAATAAGGAAAGCACTCCTTAAAAAGAGAAACAAAGTAGGAGGCATCTCATTCCCTGATTTCAAATTCTATTACACTGCCTATTGGTGATCAAGACAGTGTGGTACTGGTACAATGACAGATAAATAGATCCATGGAATAGAATTGAGAGTCCAAAAATAAGCCCATCTACCTATGGTCAACAGATTTTTGACAAGGAGAGGAAATCAGTTAACTAGGGAAATTATAGCCTTTTTAACAAATGGTGTTTCCAAAATGGAAAACTACCTGCAGAAAACTCAATCAAGATCCACACCTCACTGCACACACAAAACCAACTCAAAATGGATCATGGACCTAGGACTAAAACCAAGGACTATAAACTTCATTAATAAAAGCTCAGAAGAACTCTATAAGTCCTAATCCACAACATAAACAGTCTTTGAAGCATCCTGAACAATCTACAACCAGGAGAAGATAAAATAGATGAATGAGACAGTCTAAGAATCAAATCCCTATGCACATTCAAAATCTTCTCCAACAAGGTTAAAAGGGAAGTGACAGATTGGGAAAAAAATATTTGGTAGTGACATGTCAGATAAGGAACTTATATCTAGAATTTATAAAATATTCAAGCACCACTACAAGATAAAGGTAAACAACCCAATTGAAATATGGGCACAGGATAGGAACAGACACTCACACCCAAGTTCATTGTGGCTTTGTTCACAATAGCAAAGATTTGGAAATAACCCAAATGCCCATCAACAAACAAATGGATAAAGAAGCTGTGGTATGTTTACACAATGGAATACTACACTGCATTGGAAAACAAGGAACTCATGAAGTATTATACACAATGGGTGACCCTGGAGGACATTATGCTGAGTGAAATATCTTAGTCACAAAAAGACAAATACTGCATAGTGCCACTATTGTAAAATGGGACTGACATTAGGGTTGAGGGAAGACTGAAAATTATGGGATATATTATGTGTACTGCATTGAAACAGATGAGGGTGAAAACTGTTTAAAAAGGGATATATAATTAGTTATTATTGTCATGACAGAAGTCCAGAATGAAGGCTGCATAGTGGAGTGGACTTGGGAGTGGGAGGGATTTTAAAACAATGAAAGAAGTTTTCTTTTAATTTTAAAGAAAGAAAAGAGTGAACTGGTGGGGAGGATGTACAGGGAGAAAAGTGCAACAATGAAAAAGTGGAAATCCAGTCTGTAAACTTTCATTAAAATGAATAATCAAAAAAGAGAATAAAAAAGATCAAAAGGGAAATTGTCTATTTTATTTGGAGAGGAAAGAGACCCAGAATAAGCAAACAATTCTGAAAAACAAAAATAAAATGAGAGGCATAGCACTCTCTGGCTTTATAACCTGCTATACAGCAGTTGTAACCAAAATAGCATGATACTGGTGCAACGACAGGCATATAGAACAGTGAAACAGAATCAAGAACCCAGA